CCATTGTTCAGGCACTTCCTGTTATGGGGTGACAACTGTTTCCCTACCACATGAGTCTCCTGGTGGTGACTACAAGCAGCCCTGCCGGCATACATTGCCCAGGGGTTGGTGCACCATTGCCACCAACCAATGGGATGCCGGTCCAGATCAATGATGTGTAGATGATGCTGGAGTGAAAACATGTAGACATACCCCCCACATTTTTGAGTTTAAAATGACAAATATCTTCCAGCACCCCACTATGCCCCCAGTTATATATATGCAATGGACACATCCCCTGCCATGCCCCCAATTATTATATATAAGCAATGGACACAACCCCACCATGCCCCGGGTTATATATAGGCAATGGACACACCCCCTGCCCTGCCCCCAGCTATATATAGGCAATGGACACCCCCTACCATGCCCCGGGTTATATATATAGGCAATGGACACACCCCCTGCCCTGCCCCCAGTTATATATAGGCAATGGACACACCCCCTGCCCTGCCCCCAGCTATATATAGGCAATGGACACCCCCTACCATGCCCCGGGTTATATATATAGGCAATGGACACACCCCCTGCCCTGCCCCCAGTTATATATAGGCAATGGACACACCCCCTGCCCTGCCCCCAGCTATATATAGGCAATGGACACCCCCTACCATGCCCCGGGTTATATATATAGGCAATGGACACACCCCCTGCCCTGCCCCCAGTTATATATAGGCAATGGACACACCCCTGCCATGCCCCCATTTATATATAGGCAATGGACACACCCCTATCTTGCCCCCAGTTATATATAGGCAATGGACACACCCCTGCCATGCCCCCAGTTATATATAGGCAATGGACACACCCCTGCCATGCCCCCAGTTATATATAGGCAATGGACACACCCCTGCCATGCCCCCAGTTATATATAGGCAATGGACACACCCTGCCATGCCCCCAGTTATATATAGGCAATGGACACACCCTGCCATGCCCCCAGTTATATATAGGCAATGGACACCCCCTACCATGCCCTCAGTTATAAATATGCAATGGACACACCCCTGCCATGCCCCCAATTATATATAGGCAATGGACACACCCCTGCCATGCCAAGTCACATTTACCGCTTTATAAATATACCCCTAACCGCCATTCAGTTTTGGGTTTATGACAGAGGTAGGCAACCTCGGCACTCCAGCTGTCGTGGAACAATTCCCATGATGCATTGCAACACTCTGACAGGCATGACTCTCAAAGAAAGAGACATGATGGGATTTGTACTTTCCCCCCAGCAGGAGTGGCGATGTTGCCAACCTCCAATGCACCTATTAAAGGAGCTATAACAGTGTGGGGGGGCAAGGAATAAATGCAAATAAGTAATTTACATTGGTTTCTATGAAGTAATCCCCATCGTCCCCCGGTATAGAAGGGACTGTACATAGGACAGAGCTGAGTGGATCAGAACATCAGGGGTTGAGTGCCTTCCAGGCAGACGGTACCTGTTTTTCAACAGTCCCTGCCGGGGAATCTTCCTTCCTTCTTGTGTCCGTCCCTTCACCCCACTGATTGGAGGATCCTGGTATCTCACGTCTTGTCTTTCATGTGGTTGTTAAAGTCGCAGTAATTCCAAGCCTTGGTCCTCAACTGGTGGGTCGTGACCCAAAAGTGGGTCCCGACCCCGTGTTCAGTGGGTCGCTGCATGCCTTCCACTTTTCTAGGTGAGAGGCTCCTCAGCCTCCCCCTAGCACAGAGCTGTCCATTCTCACACCAAGCAGCCATTTAAAATATGCTTCCCGGCACCGAGTGCCGACTCGGGGTGGGCTGAGGGTATGGCCGCGAGGGAGCTCCATCCATACGTGCATTGCTTACAGCATGTCCGGTAGAGGTACTTGGACTTGAGTGACATCACATCCTGGCTCCCGGCACCTATACAGGGCACGCAAGGGAGCTGTACAAGCAATGCACATATGGATGGAGCTCCGTCACAGCACAGCAGCCCCACACTGTCGAGCATTACATTGCAGTGCGACTCGGGTCACGACTTAATGACCGAGGACAAATGTGGGTCCTGAGGTTACACAGGTTGGGAATGGCTGATTCCCAGTATACCTTTCCTTCTGAACATATTGTAGACTGCCCATTATAAGTAGGGTTGCCACCTGTCCAGGATTCACCCGGACAGTCCGGGTTTTGAATGCTGCGTCCGGGTTTCATGGCAGCAGGAACCCGGACACAAGATATCAGGCAGACAGGGGCAACCAAAATTAAGATAGGGGCTACTGGCCCCCCCACTCAAAATAGTCTCAACTGTGATATTTACATATGAATAAGCCACCACTCATTCTCCCCAAAAAATGTCGCTTGAGTGTTCGGGTTTTGCTTGAAGAAAAGGTGGCAACCCTAATTATAAGTCTATACCAAGACTGAGCCCATCCATTCAGTGACATGAGCGCTGCCTTGCGCAGTGGGGAGGCTTCTGCCTGCCGCTGGGCTGATAGATGGATAATGATCTCGCCGGTAAAAGGTCAGACTTTGTTGCATTTGCAGGACAGGTGCTCTTTAAAGGATTTTTAGGCTATTTTTATTTACTATTTTCAGCGATGCCGATAATTGTATTTGTTGTCCTGTATTTGTATGGCGATTGATGAGCGAGTCTTCTAGGATTTAAAACATACAAGTGACCATAAAAGCTGGAATAAGCCCTCGTTCACACCTGAACGCTTTGTAGCGCGTTCTACGCTCGACGAACGCTCTACAAAACGCTCAAACATCTAAATCCCATTGTATTCAATGGGTCTGGTTCACACCTTGCCGTATTTCAGCCCGTCCCTAACGTGCTACAAAACGGCCCACGCCTGAAAAGGTACATGTACTACTTTGGGCCGTTTTTGTTGCGCGTTTCCATTGGGATACAGCCAAGTAGCCCTCGGAAACGCGCGTTTGTCGCGCAATTTTTTTACCGCAAATCGCGGTAAAAAACCGCGCGACAGACGCGCATATGCAATACGCCTAGGTGTGAACCAGGGCTAAGGGTTCCTTTCCGCCATCTGTACCTGGGACGAATGCTTCAGCGTCGCTCATGTGATCTCTGCCAAAGGTAGGCAAAGCCGATGATCGGTCAGCTCTCTGTGGACATCACTTCCAAAAATCCTTCAGTAGAGAACACATGACAATGAACGCAGCACTGGCTATGCCTCTGGCCACTGGAGGGGATCCGGGTCCAGGTAAGTCATCAAGATTCTTCACTAATATTAGCACACAGCAAGCTGCTAGCCAGCTGTCACTCACGCAGCTGGGCGGATCCCATCATCTAAGTCGGGATCCGCTCCGGCGTCTCAGTATACCGCGAGCTGTAGCTCCCTATATACTGAGCTTACGGTAATGGTAGGACGCTAGTTTGTGTCCTCCCGTTACCCTATGGAGAACTATGGGGAAAAACACTGACCCCCCATAGTTCTCCTTTAAAGTGGAACCCAATTTTGAATGAAATGGGTAGGGGTTAGAACTTCTATGGGGGTTAAATTTCCATTTGTATTCATATTCATAATCTCCCCAGTGAGGACATAGACAGCTATCAATCCTTATGAAGAAATTGGATTTGGAGCGCCGGGTTTATGGTGCAATTGAGTGTCCCAATGCAGTGTGTCTTGATGACATACAGCCTTTAAAAGACAAACGTCTGGCTCACAAGGCCACTGTGAAACAATGTATCAGGAATGCAGGAGCCCAGATAGCAAGTTTGAAAATGACTCACTAAACTATTGCTAGACTTGCCGAGCTTCACAATTCTGTTGCACAATTAAGCAAGTCTCCAGACCAGCGAGCTTGCAGAGCTCTCGCTAAGACCTGCAGGACTCTTGCTGTAGACTTGCCAAGCAAATTTGCTACAAATTAAAAAAGTGTCGCCTAGAACTTGTGCTGCGAGTATTCTGCAAGTCTACAACCTGCCAGGAATGTGTGCAGCAAGTTAAAGGAGAACTATGAGATGAGTGCTTTTCACTCACCTCATAGTTCTAGCCGACCTGTGACATTGAGACTGTCACAGGTCGGCTCAGTAGATCGGGAGGTGAGAGAACACATACCGGCGTTCGCTCACCTCTCGATCCTGTCACGGCTCTCTGCCGTGACAGGGGGAGGGGCTGGATTCCCCTCTCCCTGCTCCGATCTGCCAGCGCTGACTGGCGGAACGGACGGGGGAGGGGGCGGGTACAGCTGGCTCTGCCTCTAGATAGGCAGAGCCAGCCGTCACTCAAGCAGCTGGGCGGATCCAGGCACAATTGTCAGGATCCGCTTCAGCTGCGGCGTCTCAGTATATAGGGAGCTACAGCTCGCGGTATACTGAGCCCAGGGTGACGGGAGGACGCTAGTTTGTGTCCTCCCGTTACCCTAAGGAGAGCTATTGGGAAAAGCCTTAACCCCATAGTTCTCCTTTAACAAAATTAAAATGTCACCCTTACACAAGTTTGTAGCAAGTTATCCTCGCTATCTGGGAGAGAGACAAGTGTTGCAGTCTAGATATTTTATTGACAGTATCCATCAAAAAGCCAAAGCATGCTCCAGATACATACCTCCTATGCTTTGTCTGTAACTTGCAGGCCCTGATGATGGAGGCTCTTCAGAACCTGAAATGAGTTGGCTTTGTTCATGGATACTGTGAATAATACAGAGCTGGACAAATCCCAGGAGCCTGGTTTGCCAATGATCCTTAAAAATTCCAGCTAGAACCCAACTTTTGAGGTTTTCTCTAGTTTTTATCAATGGAACTGACTCCTAAAATACCAGCTGGCCCCTGGATTGGACAGACTGACTCCTGAATTCCATATTAGTTTGTCCACCGCTGGATTAATACATTGTGGAGGATCCAACTCTTCTTTGTGTTAGGAACCCCGTGTCCGGAGATCTACAAAAGAGGAGCCAAAGAATATTTTATCCTATGTTCTTCTTTTCATGTCTGACCCCGCTCTCTTCTTTTCTCCATCCAGAACAGAGATGTAGGAAATGTCCTCCCCCTCCCCCTCATGTCTCCTGGATTCTTGGATATCCCACCTTTCGTTTCTTGGAAGCTTCTTGATTCTCCAATCCTGACTCATCACTGATCATCCTGACCAAATATCTTGAGCTGCTCAATGCCAATATTCAAAAGGTTCCACCAGATGGCTAATGTCTTCTGGACGCTCTTCTGGGTCCCCGTGATCGCCATGGATAAGAGCGGCAAGATTCCTCGGCCTGAGATCCGAATTGAAGGGGATCTGGTCATCGGGGGTCTCTTTCCAGTCCACGAGAAAGGAGGACCCGGCTCGGAGTGTGGCCGCATGAATGAGCACCGTGGACTGCAGAGACTGGAAGCCATGTTGTTTGCTGTGGATGCCATTAACAGGGACCCGCAAATTCTTCCAGGGCTTCAGCTGGGGGCCCATATACTGGACACGTGTTCCAAAGACACGTATGCACTGGAGCAGGCCTTGGAGTTGGTACGAGGATCTTTGACCCGGGGTGATGGACCTCAGTACTTGTGTCCAGATGGATCATACGCTATACATGGGGATACCCTTACAGCCATCAGTGGGGTGATTGGAGGATCATACAGTGATGTGTCGATACAGGTAGGTTACCAATGGTTTGATTTAAGGCGGAGCCTGAGAAATATAAAAAAAACATTCTAGTTATTATTAATATGACATGATTATTATAGTGTAAGCTCCTCTGGTGCAGAGACTGGCTCTGTGTTCTCTGTACAACACTATGGAATATGTCAGAGCTATAGAAAGATATAACATAATATATCATAGCAGGGGCGTAACTAGAAATCACAGGGCCCCACAGCAAAATTTTGTATGGGGCCCTGTGACTTCTAGTTAAACCCCTTGCAGAGCCTACTTGAGATCCCACTCAGCCCACCTGAGGGTGACCCTGCAGAGC